TACGAGTCCCAAAATACCCCATGCTCTCAGACCTCTAGGTTCTGCACATGTCAGTCCCTCTAAATAAAATATCCTTGCAATCTATTTCTTCCTGGCACTTTAAGACTCAGTTCAGCTGTTGCCTTTTGAAAATCTTCTCTATCTTCATCTCTGACGCTCCCATTCCACAGCCTACGTTTTCTCTCAAACTTATTTACCATTTTGTAATTGCTTATCTTTTTCCAGCATCACATACTGAGCTACTCACAAGAGGTAAGTTATCTTGCACTTCTTTCTCTAACTTTAGAACTGTGTCTGGTCCATAGATGTCCAGTGTGTGTTAAATGAAAGAATAAATATTTTGTTTTCTACCTGATGCTGCATCAAGGCGGCAAACTTCACATGAAGGTGGGCAGAAAACCAATAAGTAGGTTTTAGATGCTCTAAAAGCTCTGAGGCAGCTGGACTTCCTAATGTGTTATTTTCCACTTCTTGTCGGAAAAAAGATTTAGTCTTGAGAAGCTGCTTCTTATTTCCATAATGATATATACTTCTTGGCCAATCATGAGACAAGAATATATCTATAGGCTGCCTCAGCTTTCAAAACAGAAAAAGACAAGAAAGAAAACTCTTAAAACAGATTAACAAAAACAATCCCCTCCCTTCTCTCTACCACCATACCACCATTCACCCACTGAGATCTCGAGAATTCTGTGTAATTCATTCTAAGGACACTTTAAGGGAGTCATAAAAATACTAGGCTACTCATTCATCTAGGCAAAGAAAAGGTGCATTTTTCTCTGCTCATAAATCATTCTTATTTTCAGTGGCAGGGCAATAGAGACACGCTCTAATTAGACTGCCGATCATCTAAGATCTTTAGCACTTAGTTTCTAAAATATATAATATCCATAGTTCTTTTCCTTTTTGGTAAAGAATGACTATTTTGAAGATCCAGAGACACCAGATTTCATATGACCTCTAACATAATTGATTCAGTAAACCCAAAGATTTATCAGGGAAAAAAAAAATTCTAATAGGCTCACATAGTTTACACTAAAAAACTGTTTACCACATATATTAGTATTTAGTTAAACAACTAAAGGAAACAAAATATACTCCAGACTTTACTTATCCCCAGAACCTTCAAGTAATCTGAAACGAATACTTGAAAACTGAATTAAAACAAATAACTGTTCGAGACAATACAAAATATGAGACAGATACAACTAACTACCAAATGACTGGCATGGCCGATAGGTGCAACAAAAATTCACACTAGGGTAATGACTCTAAACTAGAAAAGTCATGATTGGCCGGGCATGGTGGCTCATGCCTGTAATCCCAGCACTTTGGGAGACCGACATAGGCAGATTGCTTGAGTTCAGGAGTACAAGACCAGCCTGGGCAACATGGTGAAACCCTGTCTCGAGAAAAATTAGCTGGTGATGTGTGCCTATAGTCCAAGCTACTTGGGAGGCTGAAGTGGGAGCATCACCCAAGCCTGGCAGATTGAGGCTTCAGTGAGCCAAGCCATGATCACACCACTGCACTCCAGCCAGGGTGACAGAGACCTTGTCTCAAAAAAAGGAAGAAAAGTCGTGGTTGGGAAATGGCATCTAAGTTGGGTCTTACAGGACTAGTAGGATTTAGATTGGTGAAAGAGAAAACCTATTCAAGGGAACTGTATGCACGAGGCATAAAAGAAACACTTGCAAACATCCGTAGGTTCCTGCAGAGGTTCTAGAGACAGTGTGATGGGCATAAGCGCAGTCAGGCAGACTCTATCACTAAACTTTGGGAAGTTCTGGGCAGGTTACTTACCTGTCTGAGCCTTGGCTTCTCCTTCTTAAAATAATGAAATTAAGAGTAAGACCTATCTCATAGGGTTTGAGTGGAGATTATATGAAATACCAAGTGTGGCCGGGTGCGGTGGCTCAAGCCTGTAATCCCAGCACTTTGGGAGGCCGAGGCGGGTGGATCACGAGGTCAAGAGATCGAGACCATCCTGGTCAACATGGTGAAACCCCGTCTCTACTAAAACTACAAAAAATTAGCTGGGCATGGTGGCGCGTGCCTGTAGTCCCAGCTACTCAGGAGGCTGAGGCAGGAGAATTGCCTGAACCCAGGAGGCGGAGGTTGCGGTGAGCCGAGATCGCGCCATTGCACTCCAGCCTGGGTAACAAGAGGGAAACTCCGTCTCAAAAAAAAAAATACAAAAAGAAAAAAGAAATACCAAGTGTGAAGTTTGCTTAGCCCAGTGTCAGCAATGTAGTGGGTTCTCAAACAAAAACCTAGTTTCACCTACTGTGCAATTAAGCAGTGTTTCCATATCACCTTTACAATTTTCCCATTTCCTCTATCATCTTTACTATTATTTATTTTCTATTTAACACCATTACTTAATTATACACAATAAAATGTTTATTATATTTTCTTTAAAATATCATTTTAATATTTTCTTTTAAATATCACTTTAATAGGTATTCTTTAGCCTTACCCTAAGTAATAATATTTGAAATCATGAATTAAATGTTTCATTCTTACTAAAATAAACTCATAATTATTGAAGTAAAAAAACATTCCCAGGCACAGCGGCTTATGCCTGTAATCCCAGCACTTTGGGAGGCGGAGGCAGGTGGATCACCTGAGGTCAGGAGTTCGAGATAAGCCTGGCCAACATGGTGAAACCTCGTCTCTACTAAAAATACAAAAATTAGCCAGGCGTGGTGGCGGGCGCCTGTAGTCCCAGCTTCTCAGGAGGCTGAGACAGGAGACTCACTTGAACCCAGGAGGCAGAAGTTGCAGTGAGCCAAGATTGCACCACTGTGCTCCAGCCTGGGTGAGAGTGAGACTCAGTCTCAAAAAAAGAAAAAATAAATAAAAAATTAAAAAAAAAAAAAAACATATGTGTGTGTGTGTGTGTGTGTGTATATATATATATATTCATCTGTGAACCTCCTAAAAACTCAAGATCCACATTTTAAAAATGCTGAATTGCTCTTCTTGGAAGTACGATACCAATATGACCAAAATACATTTTGGTACAGAATTATTTAAAAATTTTTTCAAGTCTGCTGTAATGTACTTTTTACGTACCTGTTTTAATTTATAGACTTCAATATTTCTCACATGATATATACTCCTGACTGTAGATGAATTATAAGGGGGGCATTCAAAATGACCTTAGATTGAAGAAGAAAAATAAGCTATATTCAATTCTTTTAAATACTGCAAATACAAAGACATATACACAGCTCTCCAAAATATCATGTACACCTTCAATATATGTGATTTTAAAAAGTTATCTAGGAAAATTTTTTTAAAAGATGGTGGCCTGCCATATCCTGTGCAGGCTCAACTAGGGGCGAATCTGCTTCCTAAGGTCCCAAACATGGCTGCTGACACAGTTCAGTTACTTTCTAACTGTTGAGTGGAGACTATTTCCTTATGCTCCCAATATTAATAAAATAACAAATTATTGTTGTTTTAAGCCAAAAAAGAAATATGTGTATTACATGCATAAATGATATCCCTGGGATAAAAGAGGAAACCCGATTAACATCTTCTCAAGACTGATTCCAATTTGTACTCACAACTGCCACAAAGAAGACAGCCTATTTTGTATCTCCATTCCAACAGTCTAAACTAATGAAGAGCCAAGTGGCAGGGAACAAACTTATAACAGTTACAGTCAGGATGTAAGTTTCAGCTGTCAACTTAATTCATGAAATTTGTGAAATCAATGTGAATCCAAGCTACTCCTTTAACTTTAAAATCAAGGTATAATTCATTCAGACACAATGAAATGAATAAGCAGTGTGGTATACTTATATAATGGAATATTATTCACAAATGAACAGATCAGATTACATGTATCAACACAGATTTCAAAACATGTTAAACAAAGAAGCAAGTTGCAGAAAGATACAAGCAATATGATACATTTATATGAAGCTTAAAATATACTATGTGGTACATTGTTTAAAGCTCTTATATATGTGGTAATGATGTAAAATAATCAAGTAATTGATAATCACCAAATTCAAAATAATGACTGCCTGGCAAAGAGAGGGAGGGAAGAAAAGAAGGGAATGGGATTGAGGACAGATAAACAATGAACTTTAATTGTATCTATACCGTCTTATTTCTTAAAAAAATCAAAATAAAAAATAGCAAAATACTAAGACTTGATAAAACTAGATCAAGGATACAAAGACATATGAAAAAGTCTAACGATATATATGCTTAAGTTGCTCTGGGGCATGCAAGCTCTAAAGTTTAAAAATAATTCTCAAAACAATACCTTTTCGATAGTCATGAGATTTAAAAATACCAGAGATTCCACCGATCCTTACACCTCGGTATTTTACCACACCAGCCAAACCTAAAACATTACAGTTAAATAAAATCACTATAGGCAAAAGGAATCTCTTCACACTGACTGAATAAACCATTCCATTTAGATGGAATCTGAGTTCTAAAATTATTTGAAAATTAAGGACCATGATGAGGTTACCATTTTTATATAATAATATGCCAAAAGTATATTAGTGATATATTATAACAATATATAAAGGAGAGGTCTGGAATTAGATTAGCCAAAAGACTAAGTAGATTCTGGAAGGGACAAATGAGATAGCATGCTGAAAGTGAAACAGACATAATTTTGTACCTAACTGAATACAAGAGTGAGGTAGTGAGAGGTGGGAAATGTCCCATGATGGATTTATATGTTATAAACCTGAAAATCAACAGGCATAAGGTATAAAGAAGCTGCAGCTTCTAATATCATTTCTGAATGATCATATTCTGACAATTTCACTTTTTCACATTATAATATAGGATGAATACATCAAAAGATGATCAATAAGTAGTAAAGTAGGGAAACCATTTCTGAAATTATGATCTCGTCATTGGTAAAATCTATAAACAGTTCTAGAAAGAATATATATTTAAATAAAGGGATGGGGCTGGGTGCGGTGGCTCATACCTGTAATCCCACCACTTTGGAAGCCCAGATGGGCTGATCACTTTGAGCTTATGAGTTCAAGACCAGCCTGGACAACATGGTCAAACTCCGTCTCCACAAAAAAATACAAAAAACAAAAAAATTGGCTGGGCGTGGTGGTACACATCTATTGTCATAGCTACTTGGGAGGCTGTGGTGGGAGGATGGCTTGAGCCTGGAAGGCAGAGGTTGCAATGAGCTGAGATCATACCACTGTACTCCAACCTGGGCAGCAGAACCAGACCTTGTCTCAAAAAATAAAAAATAAAGGGATGAAAAGGCCATATAGTTTATAGGGGCTAATATTGAGACAATCTAATCAAATCTGTCGATCTAAAAGCAGATTACAGGAAATCCAGAGGATAAAAGGTTTTTGGTTTTTTGAGTTTTGTTTTTTTTTTTTCATTTTTGAGACGGAGTCTCACTCTGTCATCAGGATGGAGTACAATGGCATGATCTCGGCTCACTGCAACCTCTGCCTCCTGGATTCAAGCAATGCTCCTGTCTCAGCCTCCAGAGCAGCTAGGACTACAGGCACACACCACAATGCCCAGCTAATTTTCTGTATTTTTAGTAGAGATGGGTTTCACCATGTTGGCCAGGATGGTCTCCAACTCCTGACATCGTGATCAGCCTGCCCTGGCCTCCCAAAGTGCTGGGATTACAGGGGTGAGCCACCTCACCCGGCCGGTCTTTTTAATTCAATAAAAACGGTGAGAAAAAAGAAGGGACTACAAATAGCGTGTGAGGTCTTTGCAATTATATTAGCTAGTGGTTAAAACACCAGATGAAGGGTGTGTTTTCATGCTCACCTATTTAATAATTAACTACTTTACATTTTCAGGATTAACTATTTAAATTAATGATATTCTCCAAACACCATACATCTCCAGAAACAACCCAGCTAACGCAAATCCTGATAGGCTCTTCCATCCCAGGAAAAAAAATTATCCACAAACGCATACCTAAATAATAAATGTTTGGTGCCACCCATCCACCATAGGGTAACTCTTGTAAATGATTTGAGGCTTCATGGTTTCCCCCAATGAAAAGTGTGAGAACTGGGGCCTTCTTCTCTCCAGAATAATACCTAGAACATAAGAGCAAAATCAGTTACCACAAGTAGGCATAGCAGAAAAGCAAATAATTTCCAAAAAACAAAACCAAAAACTGAGTTCATAAAAAGTTAAAAAGCTCTTTCTAAAGGAAGTGCCCAGTACCCATCCTTGCCCTTAGGAATGAAGAGCTTCCACCTTGGGCTTCAAGTCAATTAAGTCAAGAACTTTGTCAAGTTCATTGCCATAACCTCATCTTCTAGAACCGCAACAAGCACTTAGCAGGCGCCCAGTAAAAACTCCTGGATCATTGAATGAACTAATTCCAGAGTCCTATCAAGTATAAGGTAGCTTCTAAACCTGTCAGCTTCTTTCTCCAGGTCGTCCCCTCCCAGGCTTCGGTCCCCTCCCAGGCTTCGATCCCCTGTGAAATGGATAAGAAGGCTGTATGGAAAGAAGGAAAGTGACATTTCCTAAGCGCCAGGTCCAAGAAACACAGAGCGAACAAAGACAAGATCTAAGGGAAACAGGCAGCCAGTGGCAGAGGGAAATTGAACACAGTCCCACCCCGCACCGCCTAGTCCCGGCCCGGGCCGCGTCCTCACCTGTAGAAGGTTTGCATGTGGCGGTACTTGGGCGGCACGGCCATGCAGCGTAGATCCGCCTCATTGCGCACCGCCTGGAAGTCGCCGCAGCACAGCAAGAGGTCGACAGGCCCCGGACCGCGCCGCTCCGCCAGCGCCAGCGTCTCATAGATCTTATCCAGCTCACCGTGGCAACAGCCGGCCACAGCCACCCGCATCCTGCCGGCCAGAGGAGTGGAGCGCTGCCCGCAAGCTCTACACTACAGGCCCGACTGATCGCTCAGCTCCCGCCAACTTTAATAAATAGAGCCGCCGACTGTTGTAGACTCCTGCAAAATAACTCACTTCCGGTTTCCAGATCTCGCGAGAGACGGACCGGGAAGGGCAAACCTAACTCCAGGATCCCAGGGAAGTTTTTTTCTTTTTTCCCTTTTTTAAAAAAATATTATTGTTTTATGCAGCCAACAGTTATTTGTATATACATCCACAAACGTACTCTTTTCATTCTTACTCTTTTCTTCCTGGATTTCCATGTTTCTCTTTGGGATCATTTTTCTTTAGTCTGAAGAGCTCACTTCAGTTTTCCTGTTTGTTTAGTGTAGGCCAAGCACAGATGAATTTTTCCTAGATATTTGTTTGTTTAAAAATGTCTTTCCACTCTTGGGAAAATGGTGATGCCAAGCGCGGTAGAGCACGTCTGTAATCCCAGCCACTGTGGAGGCTGAGCCAGGAGAAAGAGAGACTTTGTTTCACCTCAATTTATAAAGGATGAGTTTACTGAGTACTGAATACCAGTTCAGCAGTTTGGTTTGTTTGTTTGTTTTTACAAAGCATTTCAAAAAAGCATTCTGTTATCTTCTGGCTTGCATTATTTTCTACTGAGAAGTCACCTGTAAATTTCATTGAAAGTAATGTGTCTTTTTCTTTGCTGTTTACTGTTTTATCTTTCTCTTCCTTCTCTCTGTACTCCTTAAAGCTATTTTAATATAATATGGCTAAGTGTTGTGGGGTTTTTGTGTGTGTGTGTGTTTTTAATCCTACCCCATTTAGGCTTTCTAAATCTATAGCTTGGTATCTTTTCAGTTTTGGAAAATTCTTGGCCAGTATCTCCTTAGATATTGCTTTATTTTTTTCTGTCTTTTCCTACTCCTTTGGAATTTTTCCCTGGTATTTTTTCTGTCTTTTAATTCTGTTCCATAGTTCTCATTCTTATCCGTGTTTTATTATGAATAGTTTCTAATAACCTCTCTTTACTGATCCTATTTTGTTCTATGTCCAATGTACAAACTCATTTATTAATGCTTTAACGTAGTCCTTTTCAATTTTAGGATTTATATTGGATTCTTTTCCAGTGGAGCTAATAGTTTAAAAAAATTCTTTATCTTTTAATGTATTTCCTTCGTCATTTCCTCTCTCGCATATATTAATCATAGTTATTTTAGGTTGCCTATCCTCTAAGCCCAATATCTTACTTATCTGCAGAGCTGTTTCTATTGTCTGTTTTTGTTTCAATGGATTCTTAGTTTAAAAATCTCATTTCTTGGCTAGGCGCGGTGACACACACCTGTAGTCCCAGCATTTTGGGAGGCCAAGGCGGGTGGATCGCTTGAAGCCAGGAGTTCAAGACCAGCCTGGCTAACATGGAGAAACCCTGTCTCTACTAAAAATACAAAACTTAGCCAGGAGTGGTGGCACATGCCTGTAATCTCAGCTACTTGGGAGGCTGAGGCAGGAGAATCATTTGAACTCGGGAGGCAGAGGTTGCAGTGAGCCAAGATCGCACCACTGCACTCCAGCCTGGGCTACAGAGACCCTGTCTCAAAAAGAATAAATAAATAAATATAAATAAAATCTCATTTCTTGTCTATATAATATAGATATATAATATATAGGTAATATAGATATAGATATTGTTAAGTTCCAGGGTACATGTGCAGGATGTGTAGTTGTTACACAGGTAAATGTGTGCCATAATGATTTACTGCACCTGTCAACCTATCACCTAGGCATTAAACCCAGCATGCATTAGCTATTTTTCGTGATGCTTTCCATACCTTGTGGATCACTTGAGGTCAGGAGTTTGAGACCAGCCTGCTCAACATGGCAAAACCCCGTCTCCCCAAAACTACAAAAACTAGCCGGGCATTGTGGTGCTCGCTTGTAGTACCACCTACTTGGGAGGCTGAGGCAGGAAAATCACTTGAACTCAGAAGACGGAGGCTGCAGTAAGCTGAGATTGTGCCACTGCACTCTAGCCTGGGGGGGAGAACCAAACCCTGTCTCAAAAAAAAAAAAAAAAAAAGAAAGGAAAGGAAAAGAAAGGAAGGAAGAAGGAAGGAAGGAAGGAACGAAGGAAGGAACGAAGGAGGGAATGGAGAAAGAAAGAAAAGATTCTTGTCTTCACCTATCTTTACAGGTCCTTGAGTCCTAGCTGTCTCACGGATGATAAAATTCAAAAGTAGGTTATTAAATAAAATCCCCAGAAGTAAGAATTTAGTTTGATAAAATTAAACCAAGATAAACGGGCAGGCAGGCACAGATGGTGAATTCCTTAGGACAAACCTCCAAAGGCAAAGACAATTGCCTGAAAGTGAAGTGAATTAGAATTTAAACAAAACACTTTTTAAACACCCCCAAATAATTATTTTTAAATAAAATTTTAAAACCCACAGAGGATTTAAAAGCCGTCTCCCTCGGCTGGGCATGGTGGCTCATGCCTGTCATCCCAGCACTTTGGGAGGCAGGTGGGATCACTTGAGGTCAGGAGTTGGAGACCAGCCTGGCCAACATGCTGAAACCCCATCTCTACTAAAAATACAAAAATTAGCCAGGCATGGTGGCAGGCTCCTGTAGTCCCAGCTACTCGGGAGGCTGAGGCAGGAGAATCACTTGAACCTGGGAGGCAGAGGATGCAGTGAGCTGAGATCGCATCACTGTACTCCAGCTTGGACAACAAAACAAGACTCTGTCTCAAAAAAAAAAAAAGAAAGAAAGAAAAACAAAAAAACCTATCTCCCTCTAAGAGTTTCTAAAATTATCAGTTTTTTTAAAAGGGGACAGGGACTTTTCATTTTCCTGACAAATAGTTTTCCTAACTAGAATGCAAGCTAAATGAAAGTAGGTGAATATTTCTGAAACTTTCAGAATGGAAGATGACCAAACTGGTAAATATAAAGAATGAGTGGGCCAGGTGGGGTGGCCCAGCACTTTGGGAGGTCAAGGTGGGCAGATCACTTGAGGTCAGGAGTTCCAGACCAGCCTGGCCAACACGGTGAAACCCCATCTCTACTAAAAATACAAAAATTAGCCAGATGTTGTGATGGGTCCCTGTAATCCCCGCTACTCAGAGGCTGAGACAGGAGAATCACTTGAAATCAGGAGAAAGAGGTTGTAACCACTGCATTCCAGCCTGGTTGACAGAGCCAGACTCTGTCTCAATAAAAAGA